CCACTCGACATCTGGTGGTTGCTCGATTACAAAGTTCTTCTCCACATCTAGGTCTTCGTTGATACCGGCTTTTCTGGTCTGTTCTGCTATGCGCTTTTTCATTGCTTCAAGTGCTGCTTGTCGGCGAAGGGCATTTGCCTGCTGAATATATTTCCCTTTTTGATTAAACACTAGGCGTCTTGGTTCTCGCTGTCTGGAGCCGGAGCTTTGGTGCGCCGGATTCTCGTCTAAATATGGGTTATCCATGGCATCGCTCTGCATAGCTTGCCCGAACTTGCGGCTGTTAGCAGCAGGTGTACGGTAAGGTGATTGACCGGCATGCTGCTGGGCGCGAGGTTGTGCGGTTTTGATGGGCAGATCTCGAGTAACTAGGGATGAGTTTCGTGACTTTGGGTCTTCAAGAAGAGAGTTGATGTCCCCTTTCGCCTTACTAGCGCCTGTAGCTGCTGCCACTCGAGCTTTGAGAGCCGCCAGGCGATCAAGACTTGTATCTGGCTTCTGGATGCGAGCCGAAGCATCACGGTGAGGGCCGAGGCCCGCCATCTTAGATGGATCCATCGCGTGAGTGGATCGAGGAGAACGTCAAGAAATTGCTTGCCTCTTGTTCGAGATGTATTTCTGTGTGCAGGACGCGAAAGGGGCGTGATCAACTGATATGCGACGTGGAATTCAATATGTTGACATTGATAGTGACGAGAGGACGTATCATTAGAAGACGCATGTCGGCGGGCCGACAGTAAGATCAGGGTGGTTCCACTTTTTAACTCCCTGTGGTAAAATTCTGCCCATTAAAACCGCCAGATTTTCTTCTCAGCAGTGCGTCGAAGTCTCCAACAGCTTAGCTTCCCTACTGTCATTGAATTCGTTGGACACGTCAATTAGGAAACCATAGCGCCACCACAATATACTAGACCTAGTCTGGAATTAACGTATCAATCGCGTCATAAATGCAGAGTAGAGTTCATATTCTTTTCTGCTGAGGAAACGAAGCCGGCTTCATAACAATCTTATCAATCCAATTCCTGGTGGCCTTTTAAGTTCCATCATCAGTTTCCTGGGACTATTCGCTGTTGATATTGAAAAGCTGGCACCATTGGCTTCTCAATTACCACGTCCAGGTGCTCTACTTGTTTGAATCAATCTGACTGCCCCAGGACATTTGGATCCCATCATACTTTCCGTCCCCGGTTGCTTTCCGTTCTTTTAATAAGACGTGCTGCCGTCTTCGTGCAACTCATTGACTGCAAAGGCTTTCGAGTTCCTTCGGGAGATTTTCACGAATATGCTTTGCAAGTCGCGATTACTCCGGTATGGAATCATTAACGAGGTCAGAAGTCTGGCATCGAAGAGAGCGACATGGACGTTAGATTAGACGGTTCGGTGGATGTTAGTGGTAGCGAAGCAGAAAGGAAATATCACCGGCGCACGACAATGTCACCAGGGTTACAGCCCCCCCTTACAAATGGCTTCATGAAAGCGAGGTGAAGGAAGGCGACATGACAGTGGGAAATTATGAGGGAACCACTATATTCCTGGTGAAGTCGTCAAACTCCCCTCCACCGAATCCCCAATAAGAGAGCATGACTTGGCTGTGATGACATTTTCATCGTCATGGAAGGACCTGTTTGTTGAAATCTTTGTCAGTCTCTATATGGCAAGAAGAGGGCAAAAATAGTAATAAGGAATCTCAAATGAGTTGGTGTAATGGCGCGCGACAAACAAGAAACATGAAGACCACAACTACGATAAAGGCAACCAGGCGTCGACGCACCTCTTGTTGGAAGCCGTCGATTCCAGTACTGACATAGGTTCGGAAGACAAGAAACCAGGCACTGATGGGATACCAGATTTAACAGTGTCGCAAAAGGTATACCGGTCCAATGGAGTCTTTAGCGAGTTTGACAGAACTGTTCAATGAGGTCGAAGTCTCAACGGCTTTTCGCTTTTTCCCAGCGCTAAGCCACAGCCAGAGGCTGCGGTGTGCCATTTATGATTGTCCTCACGGGTATTGATTTCCCAAATTTCCATCAATTGGATATGAGAATATGAGGACCCGAAGTGCAGAAGAACGGCAGAGTTTCTCTTTAAATATAGACTTCGATGCAGCAGAGTGGCTCACATATGTTACGAGCTGGACAGTAATCGGTCAAACATAACCCAGCTTCAACAAGCTAAGAAACAGCTACACAGAGGCATGATTTCCAGGATTGGTATAGGAAGAATCCTGCTCCAGAAGCTTCTGCGAAAGTCGACTAAGATAGTATGAAATAAAACTAAGGCAAGAGCAAGGTGTATTTTGAAGGAGGGTGGGCAAATCTGTAGATTATACCACCCGTTGTGTCATTCCCTTAACTCGAAAATTGAAATTAACCAAGTTGTCATTCCCCTAACATGCAATTTAGCGGAATGAGGTCGCCCAAACAGAGGCTTTGCAAATCACAGACATGACTACTCGTGTTTCTGGGAAACCGTTGCGAAATACCAGCGTGGCTTAATTCAAGATCACATCAATGCTTGCTTCACTTAAAGGTCCTACTACCTGGGGTACATTGTTTGGCATTTAGCGGCGAACTCTTCAGAAAAGATGCACTACGCGCAGTCCAAGAAGTCGGCCTAGAAGTCGAGTCTGGATACTTGACGTTTCCTTGACGACTTTGGATCTTCTACCACTCAAGTCACCAGAGACATGACGAATACTGTACACAAAGCGTGGACTTACAAATGAAATGAAAAATGCATTACCCAAGGAATCAAATACAAATCACGGCAACACCTGGAGTCGAAGAGACTGAAGCCATTGTCCGTCTCATTTCCGGACACCTTAACTAGCGAGCTTTGGACGAGCGACAAGTTCCTCGCACGGTTCGCGACAACAACTCATTGCCACGCCGTAAGCGTTTTAAAAACCGCGCTTAGGCTAGCATTTGTATCGCAAATCGATAAACTACATGAATTTTATATAATGCCATGCAATTGCTGCGTTGGCTTCGAGTGATACAAAATTGTTCGCCACCAGCGTCTTACGGCTCGGCCACATTTCGCATCTCAAATCGGTCGAAAAAAAGGGAGAACATGGGGAGAATATACGACCTTGCCATAATATACAACGTCCAGCCTGGATTCCCCCTCTCACTGAAGGCTGTCCATGTCACGAATACCATCAAACGGGAAACTTCTGAGCAGAATACGTTTAATATCAATGAAAAGCAACTAACAGGAGACAGGCATAGGTCACAGGTGGAATGCCTGACATCAGAGTTCAGGAGCAAGTCGTGGAAATGGCAAGACTAGAGTACCGACCTGAGCCGCGAGACGAAGACGATGATGACGACGACGATGCCGGAGACAATGATGCGACAACTGTCGGCGGGGCAACCGCTCTGATACCGTGTCCCCGAACCGAACGATGTTGCAAATGGGCTCAACTGAACAGCCGCATGGCCAAGACTGGGTTACTGATGGTGAAGGAGCCGCAGAGACTGCATATCAAGTCAATTTGCATCTTTGTATAGCTCTCAACATGTCATGCAGACTCGCTGGTTCAAACAAATGCAAGCGTGTAAACCCCTTCAACGGAAGTTCAGTACTGCACTTACCCGAGATTTGCACTCCGATCTTTACTCTCTGTATCTAGTAGGTCTTGTTACTTAGTTTCGCTGTGGCATTCATGAAGTCCTTCCGCCCGCCCGTCCGATTGTGGACACTTTGTGAAGAATCCAGCTTGCCATACAACGGACTTGTCAAACCCACATTTACTCCAACATCATCAATCCCTATTCTATAGGTAAGTAACAATCTTAGTATCAGGGTCCGATCAGCGATGGGGTTAAGCGTAACCATTGGGATGGCATCGTAGTCTAGCGTCGCAAAACTGCACCTGTGCCGGTTCCTGTGATGGTTGAACAACATTGTACAGCAGCTCCTTACGAGTAAGTAGTCATGGGTACTGAGTGCGGAGTAAAACCCCTTGGTTCTAAGGCGGCCATGTGCCAAAGAAGCCACGACGAGCAGGGATAGGTGCTTAAGTACGGAGTAGGTTGCTTGCAAATTGATGACTTTTGCGGGCTGGAGGTTGGAACCCCCATTGTACATACAGATAAAGAATTCGGTGCCATATCTGACCAGTAGGCAGCTGTTGCTGGCACTTGAAGGGTATGCTCGGCCATGCCGGCCAGCCAAAGGGCTTGCTGAGTATCTCAACAGGATGAGGCAAGCCTTCTCCGTAACGCAGGTGAAACGTCCATGGCTGTCGCGGTTGGCCGTCGACGAGTGCGCATGTGGTCTCCCGGAATGAGTCTTGCTGGGGTCGTAGCCTAGAATTGGCGAGTGGAGGACGTGTTGATCAACATGTATTACCATACGGGAAACAGGATCTAAAATTTCCAGGTGTCGACAACAGATTTTGTTGTGAAAAAGCAGTGCACGTTCTGTATCTGAAGCGCGATCGATCCTACTAGCTATTGGAGTTCAGTGTTGTCGTTGCTATTGCCGTCTACCTCCGGGGTACTCTAGACATTGACGGTTTCCACCAGCACCTCACGATTATGCCATTGCGATACAGTTGCGAATGAAATCTATCTCACATAGGTGCTGCCTACTCCAGTACACGTACCTACCTCTGTACATAGGAACCTCAGTAATCTCGCCAGCCTAGCTGCACTTGGCTACTGCTCCATCTAGACATGAATTATTACTCATGTTCACGTCACACAAGTGACTCATCTGCAGTCGCGTCCCGGTCAGTACCGGGCCTCAGACTACGCGTAGTTACGATACATTGGCGTTTTCACGTGGGGCATCCATTTCATTTGGTGTGTTTGTGACCTTCGCGGTCCGTCGCATTGGGCAGCTTCTCCGAGCTGTACTACCTGTCATAATATACATCCCAACTGAAGAGCAAAGCAATCCTCATTGTAACGCCATGATTATCCCCTAAACCATGATTTCCATCGTGTCAAAGCAAAAGTCGTAAACCTATTCCGTCCCAAAACACTCCCAATTTAGTTACGTTCGCCTCGGAGGCGACGAGCGAGCTGGATGTCCTTGGACTGGATGGTGACACGCTTGGCGTGGATGGCGCAGAGGTTGGTGTCTTCGAAGAGAGAGACGAGGTATGACTCGACAGACTCCTGAAGGGCGCCGATGGCAGAGGACTGGAAACGGAGATCACTCTTGAAATCCTGTGCGATTTCACGAACCTGTGCGGCGACGTCAGCTCTGTTCGGTGCCGTGTGTTGTTGTTGTTGTTGTACTTACCAGACGCTGGAATGGCAGCTTGCGGATCAAAAGCTCGGTGGATTTCTGGTATCGTCGAATCTCACGCAGAGCGACGGTACCAGGCTTATAGCGGTGAGGCTTCTTGACACCACCGGTAGAGGGCGCACTCTTACGAGCGGCCTTCGAGGCAAGTTGCTTACGGGGAGCCTTGCCACCAGTGGACTTACGGGCGGTCTGCTTGGTGCGAGCCATTGTTGTTGTTGTAGATGGTGACTGGGTAGGGGTGTGAGTGTGGAGGTGTGGGTGTGTGATGTAGGAGGAAAAGTTCAGAGACGGAGGCGGCGGGGGGAGTGCTTTAATACCTGTGGCTTTGTCGCGTCAAGGCGGGCGGCTGATCTGGGAAAAAAGGATCCCAGCAGCGCGTTGGGTGGGTCGTGTGCCAGCGTGTCAACTGCACAGCCAAGGAAAAAAAAACACCGTTGCAAGTACCCAAAAAAAAAAAATATAACAAAAAATGCTACCAGTCCTATTTAGTATGTGTGGGTTCGACTGATGCTAAGGCTGGCCCCCGTGTGTGATTTGAATCCCCGCTGCCTAATCCGGGTGTCACCCCACGCTCACTGCCAATTGGCACCAAGCAGACATCAATTGATGGACCTGCCTCGCAATGACTAGCATGGCGAGATGGGAGAGAGGTCAAGCAGAGTGCGCTACCAGGTTTGAGTACTGCCTGGTTGCTGCGCAAAAAAGCTGAATATGACTCGCAAATGTACTGCACATTGGTTGCTACTAGTATATGCAGACGAGCTGGCCTTGGTACTGCCCTCGCGCCATTTGTTTTAAGTGTTTTGGAATTGAGCCCGGGTTTCAGCGACACTGTGATGTTATGCTGCTAAGTGACCTCGTTCACCTTCTTTAAGTACTTTCTAATTGGCTGTACAAGTCACGAAGTAGAGTCGGCTGCCGCCTCACAATTGCTACCCTGTAGTTTGTATGTTATCCTCACCAGGATTGGATATATTCAACTTCTGCGCCGTGCATGCTGGGTTATTTCATGCAGTTGCTGTTTCCTGCTGCCCTTGTGTTTGGCTTTCATTTCGTTCATTTTCCCCCTCCCTCCTATGTGGGAGGGGTGGCGGAGGTTAAAAAAAAAAAAAGATCACAACGTCTTGTTTTGGTCCTTCGCCTCTTCACCCCGAGGTTGTTCCCCGTTGCGCCCTCATCTACCTACCTAGGTACCTACTTAAGTAGGTACTTAGCACTTGAGTAGGTACATGGTGGGCACCTAGCACTCCAACGGCACCACGCTCACAATGACAAAACGACTACGCTGATTTTATGCACCGCCTTGCTTGCGTGCAGTGTAGCCGGCAGTACACTAGAGGAAAAAGTTCATGCTGATTCAAGGCCCAAACAAGGCCGGACATAGTTGTCATGCCACATAAGGAATCAATAACGCACACATTGGGCCGATACAAGGATTTGTGAGCTACATACAAAGACATCGCTACGTAGCATCTGACGCATCGCGATGCGTTCACAGTGATTACATGGTTTGTTGTGGTTATCTGGGTTGGGTACGGCCACGCATACCGCGTTACAGTCACAGGGCCTACTCGATACAATGCTTGCATGGTTATTTGGATAGGTCTGGAAAAAATAAATAACCAATAACATACAAAGCTATGACATCAAAGAGCAATACAGGCTAAGCAAGGCCATGTGCAATGTATTCTTACGCCTCCGGCCTGGGGGTCGGACCAAATACCAATGCGTACCTGCAACATGAATCATCCTCACGCACACAGCTAAGTATAGTTGGGAATTACTAGTATTGCTCGCGACAATCTAATGCCTCAGATACCATGCATGTTAAACAAAGATCTTGCCCATTCAATAACCAGTGACGGGCAGCAAGATCTCAACGGACGGTACGATTTCCCAGCACGGAATTCCAAGAGTACGCGACAGACCCACAGTGGACACCAGGCGCTACACATTTTTCTAACATTTTGATTCGTTGATAGCTGTGGCTTATTATTGTACGTAGTATTTTATTTGGGCATTATTTTGCTCGAGCACATGTCCTTACCCCTGTCTGCACTCTTGTCCCAGTTCCACAATGCCAGAGAGTCGCGTCTTCCCACATCAGTCCCAACTGATCTGAGGATCGGCCCACCTGTACTTAAGCTCGCCTGCTGCCACCTTCATCCTCTTTCCACCTTGATAATTCCTATCTACAACTCAGAACGCCGACTCCACTTCCACCATACTATACAACCCCCCGCTCAATCACTACACCCATTTACAACAGCAATAATGACTGGACGTATGTAAATTCTACTCAACTGGAACAGGCAGGCAGTCAACTAATCAAGTACAACAGGCGGCAAGGGCGGCAAAGGCCTCGGCAAGGGTGGTGCCAAGCGTCACCGCAAGATTCTCCGTGACAACATTCAAGGCATTACCAAGCCCGCTATCCGACGTCTTGCCCGCCGTGGTGGTGTCAAGCGTATCTCTGCCATGATATACGAGGAGACGCGCACTGTCCTTAAGACCTTCCTGGAAGGCGTCATCAGGGACGCCGTCACATACACCGAACACGCCAAGAGGAAGACGGTTACATCACTGGACGTCGTGTATGCTCTGAAGAGACAGGGTCGTACTCTCTACGGTTTCGGCGGTTAAGCGAGAGTGTGTCTCATGTACGTTACGATTTATTTGATAGCCCTTGGTGCATAGGATCACTGCACAGGGTCAGGCAGGGTGTTTTATGACCATGGAATTCGGTTTTTTTTTTACGGGTGTTTTGTATCATACAAGGGATAGGGTAGCCTACACAACTGCGGGGTAATTGAATTTGTCTATTTGACGATATTCCACATCAAGAACCCATCCGCGCCAGCACCATACCGAGCAGCCCACCGATTAGCGTGACACTGCCATCTAGGCATTAGAAGATGGAACAATGCCGTTTCGGCGGCACCTGTTGTATTGCACAGTACACACTGCGAGCAACGAGTCTCCAGTCATCGCCACTGTCGCACGCTGGTCTAAGTGTCGCGTTGGCAACCGTTTTGCGACGACACTATGTCCGGTGCCGGTAACCATGACATTATCCACCTCTTGGAGCACATAAATCTCTGGGTAGACGATTGTACAATGGTAACTGAACCTTGACTTTCCTAATGGCGGGGATTACACGAATGAATACCATCATGACATATTTTTCCAACTGGGTGACTTTTCCTTCCTGCCAGATTATACCTGATTCCCACCTGGGCAGGTTATTCCAGACGTTTGTCCTTGTATAACTGCACTTTCACGTGTTGGTCCAAAGCAATCTTTTGCCAAGGGATCAACCCTGGCGGAGGAGATGAAGTAGTACTGTGAAGAATTTGGATCACCGGACCCATTATTCACCAGCCTGAACCTTTGTAATATTGTCATCCTCGATTGAATCAGCGCATTACCTCAGATGTGCACATACAGTCCTCGATGTGGACGAAGCTAGAATAGCGAAAAAATTATGTGCTGTTGTGATTACGGAGTACTCACAGACGAATTGATCATGGTCATACCGACTGGGTAGCCCGGTTGCAGCTTAAACACAGTCCTAAATTTAGATCGATATTTGGCAATGGGGCTGAGCCGTTCTGTTGGGCCGACACTGCGTGCAGCAAGCCAGGAACTTGGTAGTAGTACTAGGACTAGTAGTACTAGTACGTAGTCTGGTACTTCTAGTTGGCATTGGAGGGGTAGTCTGGGAGACCCCGGACCAGACACAGTACTCCGTACAGCCTGCACATCTGCATGTGTGTGTCACTCAGCTGTGATGCCTCGCAAGACAACGTAGCTGAGCGTCAAAGTAGCCGTTACCCACAGCACAGTCATATACAAGCTAAGTTTTCATCTCACCTGACGAAGGTGCAACGAACCTGTGAAAGGGGGTGATGAAACCTTGGGGAATCTGGGATTGGCCTGGATCTGTTCGGTGGCTTTGGTTTGCGACTACTAGGCGTGTATGCTGGTGTGTTTTCCCCGTCCGGCAATCCCGCTATGGCGGCGCTATAGCGGAAGAAGCATGTTTCTTTCTTATTATAAGATGCCCTCTTTGCCATGTGATGCCCATGTGTCGAATCGAGCGGGAGATGCGCGAATGATGCAGTGAGTTACTATGCTGCGACGCATAGGGGACCTTTAATGAAAAACCCTTGAAGATATTGCATTTGTTAACATGAAGAACATACAGGCAATAAATCTTTACTGGAATTCGACGTAGGTTTCTGCATAATTACCTTCATGATAGCGTGCGGCTGGGCAGGCTGGCGCCCAGACACCTCGCAGATCTAGATTTAGCGGTAATACGGTGTCGCGCGCGGATTCAGATCATCCGGACGGCCACCTCCGGCCGCGAACGATTGTGCCGAGGCTGGTGAAGTCTTCCAGACCTTTATTTGGAAGGGGTCAAGTAAGCCTGGAGATCTAGAAGCAGAAACGCCGAGTCCCTTGCAGCAGCTGGGGCTGGAATTCGTGGCTGTGATACTGCAGAGGGCTAGCTGTAGGTTTTTGGCACATGTGCAGCACCAAAAAAACCGGCAGATGCCGGCACTGGGGGCAGGCAGCCAGGAGGGCTTTGTGCCATGAGGGAAAACAGGCGAAGACTAGCACCTACACCTCCGTCTCGGCCAGGCCGAAGCTTTCGAGCACCAGTTCACTCGATAGTTACAGGAAGCAGCAACAGCTGAGGAAAACAAAAATTTTATATGCAGCAGAAAAATTTTGCCGGAGTGGTTCCTGCACATTGTTTCTGCTAGCTCCCAATGGCGCCCCGACCACGCATTCTCGATATTTCCGTTATTCGGATTATCCCGCTGCACTCTACCCGAGTCGAAGCCCCAGCCAGCTTGAGTGCAAAATCCTGTAGCCTAGACTCAAGCACAGCAGCTCTCCTCGCTTCGAGAATGAGGATCCAATCCTCCCACATCCCAAAATCGTACTAAGCAGTTCCGCCGGTGCCAACGCAGTCTCAACACTTTGCAGATGCAAAACTCGAGCAGCCGCTAAGTCCGGATCACAACCACCATGGATGGTCGTAGTAATGTCGATACTACCAATGAACGTGTTGTATGTCATTTGTCATGGAGGGAGAGCTTGGCATCGCTTTACCGGATGCTTGCATGACTGATTACGAAGCGTGGAATGACCAAGCCTTCACCTAGATGGTCATGTGATAAGTATGTGGCACACCGCGGATCGTGGCGGAACCAGTTAGAATACGTGGCTGTGCAATCTAGACGAAAAAAAAAAAAGCTTGGCGTTGGTGAGAAGCGAAAGGTGCATGCAAGTGTAAGGTTACGTCCCCCGTACGGAGTACGGAGTATTCCATCTATTGCGCTGGGCAAGGATGTTCTTGGTTGATGCGCTGGGCAATTCTTGGGTTCAAAAGCCCGTACTCCGTAGCGACCCTAGGAATACTCCGTACCAGATTGAAGTACTCCGTACCTAGTGAGGTATGTACATGTGGCTCTGGATCGACGCTGCTCAAGACGTCACTGTCTCCGGGGGCCTAGGAGATGTGGTTGCCACTCGTTCCGTTTAAGGGTCAGAGAGTGTGGACTTGGCTAGTACTCCCACTGTCAAAATCGCAATGTGTGGAGTACCACAGGGTGGATTTGTGTTTTCGGGAACCATCGTCAGTGGGCTGCTAGAGACCTTGTTACCTCTTCGCGCTCTGTCCATACGGCGTACCTCAGTGTTGTTACCTCGGTGTTGTTCAAGCTTCGGACGACTAGACACATCAATCTTGTGAAGTCCCAGTGATGTTATGGAGGAAGGCTGTCGTTGGCGAACGCCGAATCACGCGGAAGGCGGCCGAAGTCGCAAGGAGCATCTGGCATATTGATGGAGTAAACGCAAAGCAGAGCCACTAGTTTATCTGGCAAGGCACGCTGAAGTGATAAAGACCAGTCTGTCCATAGCTTGTCGGTCAAGAACCGGGACTGTTGTCTCTGGGACACGAGGGAACTAGCGTGTTACAATAGGCCTCTTTTTCTTCTTTCCTTTTCTGCGTTCGATTGGTAACTGCAGGCAGGTAAGTGCCAGACCCTTCCTGCCGCTTCTTGGCCTGGCTGTAGGCTACCTCACGCCTACCAGTCGCCCACTAATGACATGCCCGATGCGCCAGCTTGGCCAGCCCACTTATCCTTGCGGGTGGAGACGGCTTGTGGACATTGTGCTCCCGTCCTGCACAGTCAGTCCTCCCGGTACATTCGGGGGACCCACACCCACACCCGCAATCAAGCCACACACCCTGGTCGAGGGCTGCTGTGACGTTTCCGCATACTCGGTTCTCCCGGCCAGTCTGCCAGCTTATAAAGTGGCAGTCATCGCATTTGCCACCGTCATAAATCCATATACATAATCTTCTCTTTACCATACCCACATTGGTATCATGATGATATCTTTACCCATTTCCAGCACAGACGATTTTCACGCTCAGAAACACAACTGGCAGCAACCTTCCCACCTTCATAACTCGCACCAGTATCGAGACGAGGAAGATTTGCTCAACGATATCCCAGCTCTCGATTCCGATTTAGAAAGGCAACTGGTATTTCAGGGAAACGAGGATTCTCTTCAACCCTTCCACGACTGTCTGACGCATCCCATGCAGTCAGATAGTTGGGGCGGCCTCGCCCAGCTGACTCCCAAGATCGGACGCTTTTCTCACCAAAGAGAGTCGTCTTTATCGTCACTTGGGTCGACTGGCCCTGCGTCACCGTACACCCAGAATACATCGAATCCTCAAATCGCCTTTACGGACTCGACTTTTGAGGGACTTGCTGAAATGAACTCTCAAGACCTTACAAACAACCAGCCCAGCTCCTACTACCACCTCGCCAAATCGATGGGACCTACCCCTTACCCAACATACCACGGTATGGATGGTACAATAGCTGAAATGGCATATCCAGTTACGGTATCAGGACCAGGAAAGAGGCCGCGCATGGATAAGGGACTTTTATCCGCTCCAGAGCTGGCTGGGGCATACAACAGATCTCATCCAGCGTCCGTAGCTAGTTCTGTTGCAGGAGATTCTCCCGCAACCCCGGCTATAGGTGAATTGGACCAGAAATCGTCCCGCAGAAAGAATGGTAAGACTCCAATGACCCCAGATCTGTCATATCCGGCGGCTTCTGACTTGGCCTCGAACTTTCTAGACTACGGTCACATTCCCAAGCTCGACCGAACCATGACAGATGTATACGGAGATGAACTCTACAACCCCAACTTCACAATCACGGCCACCTCTTCCCCTCAGCCACACTCTGTCACCTCAGTTGGCAGCGACGTATTCAGTCAGCGTATCAATGCCGCGAACCACCAGCACTTGAGTGCTGCCCACTCGCCAGCATCTACAACTTCCCGCGCCCGATCGCCGTTTCGAACAGGATCGCCATTCGCGACTTCGTCTAGCCATCAATTTACCTGTTCTCAGCCTCCTTCTAGAGAACATGATCAACAAATTCAGCAACCGATTGCTCACCTGGAGAATGCCGGCGAACCTGAGACGCCGAAGACCATTTCTCCCAAGGACGCTGTCTTGGAATTTAATGAATCAGAAGCAGATGGCTTGTTCCCCCTCTTTCCTCAAAATTCTTCTGGCTTTGAAATTGATACATTGT